TACGACACAAAATACAAAATTTGCTATAAATCAAACTGAGCTGTAATTTCTTACCATTATTATTGTGATACTTGTTATTGTGAAACTGCTTGATGTATTCCATCTTACATTTTCACATGAAGTTTTCTCTCTATTTATTTCACGGTTAAGCACTGTGTTTTTGGTAGGTGGACTTTTATTGGCATGAGATTTCACCTTAGATAGCACAGCTGCAAAGTCAAAATTGGCTTTATTGTAAAAATTCATAAAAGCACAAAAGATCTGCCCATGTTTGATTATTTAAAGTGGATTTTATATACTAAAATAACGCAATGAATCGAAAAAATTGGAGAAAAATCCAACCTTTTATTGTAAGTAAAAAGGGAGGCTCGAGTTTAGTGAGGGAAAACTCACTGGACCTTATTCTGCAGAAGACTGAAATGTTTCTGCATACTTGTTGGTAGTCCAAGGTAAGTTTTTCACTGTTACAGTATATTCAAAAGTATTCATACCCCTTGAATTATTCCACATTTTGTTTTTTTGAAGGCTAAATTCAGGGTAGCCTAGTGGTTAAGAGCGTTGGGCCAGTATCTGAAAGGTTGCTGGGTCGAATCCCTGAGCTGACTAGGTTAAAAAAATCTGTGCACTTGAACAAGGCATTTAAACCCAATTGCTTCTGTAAGTCGTTCTGGATAACAGTGTCTGCTAACATATAAAAATACAACATGACAAAGTGAAAGCATGTTTGCAAATGTATTGAAAATGAAATATTAATTTACAGAAGTATTCACACCCCTGAGTCAATACTTTGTTGAAGCACCTTTGGTAGCGATTACAGCTGTGAGTCTTTCTGGGTAAGTCTATAAGAGCTTTGCACACCTGGATTGTAGAATATCTGCACATTATTTATTTACTTCACTACATAAAAAAAAAAAAAAAGTATACTTTTACTCCGATACATTTCCCCTGACACCTTCGTTACTTGCTACAAAATCAAATCAATCTGAAGCTGGAAGAAAAAAATGAATCATGTTGGAAAAAAGATGCAAGCAACATCAGCGAGTTGGCTCGTGTGAACTTGTTTTGCAATGCAGCAGGTGACCACGTGCAGATTTGATCCAATCCTCATCAATTTGGGCAAATCCAAGGGTCCTAAAGTGCAAACCCCAACCACCGGGAGCCTGTCACTTGCAAAACAGTCATCCACTCAGTAGCACTTTGCCCAAGCATGTCCGAAATCACACAATCATGTCCGACATCGCTCTACCACCACCTCCTGATGAGGATGAACACCCTTGGCTGTATCTAAAATAAATGTTTTATTTTCTCGGAATGAAGGATTCATCCTATCGGATGAAATGTCTGTTATGTTTTCCAAAAGTTCAGGAAATACTAGCTAATTTTCCCCCAACATCGGACACCATCCTAACTGGAGGACTAAATCATCTTGAGTTCAAGATTTAAATGGACTGGAAAATAACGGTAAGTTTTGCGACTAAAGACACCCTTCTAGCTAGCTGACCACCGATTTTCATTGCAATTTATGTAAGTTAAGTTCGGTTTTGAGAGTTTTCAAAAAAGTTATATACATACACATTTTGTGGGACATGCTGTATATTGTCAAATTCGACTGCGCGACAGACCACACATCATTTAATATCCAACTTTTTACCTCTGAAATATAGCTAACGGATTTTCTAACGTTGCTAAATGTTGATAGAAGCAAAAAGGAAAGATATTGTAAGCATTAGATAATACATATCACGAAAACAGCTGAATGTTGTCAAGCTTTACCGTATCAAAATTGGAGTCCTCTGATGGGGTCGTTTTACACAATATGCAAAAATTAATTTTGAACTTTGAACTATTAACCTTTTGACACCTATCACTGTTGGCTATGTTTCATCTTACAACAGCTACATAGAGGCTGTATTTAGTCAAATGTTACAATGTATGCATCAATATTAAACTACATGGGACACACATTTTTATTACAGATAACATCAAAAAACGTGGGTACACTTTCAGTTATCGTGGAAACTTTCATCATCACCTTTCAATGCCTTAGCTTTGAAATGTAAATGTTTATACATATTCAGATTGAGTTACCTTTCTAAAATGTGTATAGTATGCCAAGTTATTTAGCTACATGCATTTACCACCACAGCATGGAGAAAGTCAAGTGGAAGCAGTGGAGTGAGGTGGACATGTTCCATGCCATGGAGGACTGCGGGGCAGGGATGGCTATCCGCCAGGCTGCCAAGGTTAGACATCTTTTGTTTTTAGGAGATTACCAGGTGCATGGTATACCTCGGCAGACTCTGGCAGACAAGCTGAGTGGCCGGGTGACCCATGGTTGTCGCAGTGGACCACCCACATTGCTTGAAAATTCTCTGGTGCAGTACTTTATCTACCGCGCCAGCCATGGGTTCCCCTTCACCAGACAGAGGCTGAAGAATTACGCGGACAAAATACACAGGTATTTGGTGTTCTATGTGTTTATGTATGTAGAATGCTAGACTGACTGTTCTCTATGTGTGTGATGTAAATGTGGATGTGTAAGGTGATGCCAAAACAAACATTTTCATCCTGGATGGACAATTATATATTCTATTCTATTGTAGGTTTCGGCACCCAGGGGAAACAATCCCACCACTGGGGAAGAGGTGGTGGGAAATGTTCAGGAGGAGGCACAAGAACCTGAGCATGAGGAGGCCGGACACGCTGGACAGGGGGAGAGCTGAGTGTGCCACACGTCTGACGATGGACACCTTCTTCACTTCTTATGAGAAGCACTTGGAGGAGAGTGGGTTGAGGGAGAAACCCAGACAAATCTATAACTGCGATGAGTCTGGGTTTCGTAGCGACCAGAGCAGGCACAAAGTGCTGGCTCCCCGGGGCGCAAAACACGTGTACCAGCAGGCTCCGGGGACCAAGGAGCACATCACAGTGCTGGCCTGCTTCAACTCAGCTGGGGAGGACGTCCCCCCTGTTTATCATCTACCCCGAGTGTTTCCCTGGTGGCCACTACACACTGGGAGGCCCCCCCAAGCCTTGTATGGACGGTCAAACAGTGGCTACATTGACGGGGACCTGTTCAGGAAGTGGTTTTAGCACTTCATTAAGCATGCAGTGAAGGAGCGCCTTCTCCTCTTCGATGGGCACAAGAGCCACATGGACCCGGAGGTGCTCGCGGCGGCACTAAGGGAAGGGGTTATACTTCTTTGTCTTCCACCACACTGCACCCATGTCCTGCAGCCGCAGGAAGTGGCATAGTTTGGCCCTTTAAAGGCTGAGTTCTCCAAGGTAGCTGGAGACCTTAGCCATTTTGACCACTCCTACATGGTAAACAAATCAGAATTTGCCAGAGTATTCGGCTACCCGTACCAGTGCTGCAAGGACATGCGCAATGTGGTGGAAAGGGTTTAAGAAGTGTGGCCTCTTCCCTTTTGACCCTTCAGCCATTGAAGGGTCCTGTTTAATGTTGTCTCGGTCCCTATAAAAAAAGTTGAAAAGGGTTTTCATGAAACATGCTCTGTCTAACACAACTTTTTCTCAAACTGCAGAACAGAAAAGGAAGAGAAAAGCTCCACCTTCCACCTCTGTCACGCCACCCATGACACCACTCTCAGGTACTTCATAATCAGTTTTTCTCTCTCTGTTGTATAAATTACCATTGTTGTTGTAGAACTTCTACATTTTGCAAAACCATGTTAATCAATTTGATTATTATGATTACTTTTTTTTAATAAAAGAAGACATCCCCTGCTGAGCTTGCTGCGGGGAGCGTGATCCGCCTGCAAGCTCCCCTCAAGAGTGTAGATCCGAGGTGCCATGGGTGTGCTGTGACTTCTGCCAGCACTGGTTCCACTGGTGTGCAGTGCGATCCAGAGCTGGCGCTGGAGCTGGATTTTTATTGGGATTTTTGTGACAATATAGGGATGGAGGTCGAGATTTCATTGTTTGTTTTGTTTGTTTTCATGTGAAATACTTTATTTAAAAAATTATAAAATACATGTCTAAAATACATATATATATTTATTCAACCCATCTTGTGTATTTATTCCTTTACTTTCCAAGTGCATCTCTGCAACACAAACTCCAACAGTGTTTTCATTGTTTATGTCAATGCACATTACTGAAATTAGTTTTATTTGATGTAAATTATTCATACTCATTTATATTTTAGTACTAAACTGTTATCTACTATCTCAAAACATAAGATGAATCTGTAAAATAAATTATGAGACATTATTTGGTTACAACACTGAATTTGTTGGTGAACAACCATTTTTTAAGAGTCCACAGGAGGGCTCACCAGGCTACGCAATGACAAGTTGACAGGCAAATAAATAAGGCTAGCCAACTAGCCAACTATATAGTGAACACTTCGGATACGAGGTCAGCGTCTCGTTTTTGAACAAAATTAAACTGATATATCTTTTAATTGAACAAAATAGTAAGGTGGCCAATAACTGGGGAACGTATGCCGAAAATACGGGACGGATTTATTTGCTAAACAGCATATCAAAAAGCTGATAATAGTAGTATTTCCACTGAAATGTTAAACATGCTAATTGCTAACCCTTTAGCTAACATTTTTACGAAACCAATAATCACAAAACATTGATGGCTTGATCACAAGATAACACTGTCGAGGTAATATATTTCTTAAACGCTGTTGAATATGCCGATATTACGGGGTTCCACGTAAGGGTAAGGGCTAGATTCAGTCTGGACCACGGAAGATCTGATTTATAGCCGACAAAGGGTGATCTTATAAATTGTAATAGAATCCCGGCGTAAGTCGTTAAAATTCCTGATAATTGGTTGTTGGTCCCCACCACAGAATATAAACTCTCAGGGATGGAGGTCATGGGGGTCAAGGGGGGCGTTGGGGTCATGGGGGGCATGAAGGTCATGGGGCGGTTCACAGGCTAGGGGTGGGGGTCTCCCCCCATGGTGGGGTGGTTCACGGGCTGGGGGTGGGGGTCTCCCACCATGGTGGGGCGGTTCACAGGCTAGGGGTGGGGGTCTCCCCCCATGGTGGGGCGGTTCACTGACTGGAGATGGGGGTCTCCTACCTCACTGTAGATGGAGGGTGATGCTGGACCAGGACCTGGAGACATCTGCTCTTCACCACCTGCTTGACTGTTATCTGGAGTCTGGAGAATAAAAACATACAGCAATAACTTCACTAGGAATTTATGAATGGTGACCCAGGTATAAAACAAGGCCTTTAATGACCTCAAATCAATAAATTAAAAATGTCTCAGTGACTGTTAAATGCTCTACAATATAAGCAATATAAGAAATGAACATGAGTTTATCGGTAATTCAGGTTTCATACATTTTCCATTAACTGCATTTTTTACATGTCATCCACAACGACACAGTATCAGTGATGTTAAATATCTGATGGATCTTACCCCAACTGTAGCATAATCTGTGTTAATTTCCCTTTTGCCACCTATAAACAAACCACATAAATCCAATAAGATTCACTGTGAGTGTATATATACGGGACCAGTCAAAAGTTTGGACACACCTACTCATTCCAGTGTTTTTACTATTTTCTACATTATAGAATAATAGTGAAGACATCTAAACTATGAAATAACACATATGGAATCATGTAGTAACCCAAAAATTTAACAAATCAAAATATATTTGAGATTCTTCAAAGTAGCCACCCTCTGCCTTGATGATAGCTTTGCACACTCTTGGCATTCGCTCAACCAGCTTCACCTGGAATGCTTTTCCAACAGTCTTGAAGGAGTTCCCACATATGCTGAGCACTTGTTGGCTAGTTTTCCTTCACTCCGCGGTACAATTCATCCCAAACCATCTCAATTGGGTTGAGGTCGGGCGATTGTGGAGGCCAGGTCATCTGATGCAGCACTCCATCACTCTCCTTGGTCAAATAGCCCTTACACAGCCTAGAGGTGTGTGTTGGGTCATTGTCCTGTTGAAAAACAAATGATAGTCCCACTAAGCGCAAACCAGATGGGATGGCTTATCGCTGCAGAATGCAGTGGTAGCCATGCTGGTTAAGTGTGCCTTGAATTCTAAATAAATCACCTACAGTGTCACCAGCAAAGCACCCCCACACCATCACAACTCCTCCTCCATGTTTAACGGTGGGAACCACACATGCAGAGATCATTCGTTCACCTACTCTGCGTCTCACAAAGACACGGCGGTTGGAACCAAAAATCTCAAATTTGGACTCATCAGACCAAAGGACAGTTTTCCATGGGTCTAAGGTTCATTACTCGTGTTTCTTAGCCCAAGCAAGTCTCTTCTTGTTAGTGGTGTCCTTTAGTAGTGGTTTCTTTGCAGCAATTCGACCATGAAGGCTGATTCCCGCAGTCTCCTCTTAACAGTTGATGTTGAGATGTGTCTGTTACTTGAACTCTGTGAAGCATTTATTTGGGCTGCAATCTGAGGTGCAGTTATTCTAATGAATTTATCCTCTGCAGCAGAGGTATCTCTGGGTCTTTCTTTCCTGTGGCGGTCCTCATGAGAGACACTTTCATCATAGCGCTTGATGGTTTCTGCGACTGCACTTGAAGAAACTTTCAAAGTTCTTGACATTTTCCGTATTGACTGACCTTCATGTCTTAAAGTAATGATGGACTGTCGTTTCTCTTTGCTTATTTGAGCTGTTCTTGCCGTAATATGGACTTGGTCTTTTACCAAATAGGGCTATCCTCTGTATACCACCCCTACCTTGTCACAACACAACTGATTGGCTCAAACGCATTAAGAAGGAAAGAAATTCCACAAATTAACTTTAAAGAAGGCACACCTGCTAATTGAAACGCATTCCAGGGTATTACCTCATGAAACTGGTTGAGAGAATGCAGAGAGTGTGCAAAGCTGTAATCAAGGCAAATTTTGATTTGTTTAACACTTTTTTGGTTACTACATGATTCCATTTGTGTTATTTCATAGTTTTGATGTCTTCACTATTGTTTGCAATGTAGAAAATAGTACAAATAAGGAAAAACCCTTGAATGAGTTGGTGTCCAAACTTTTAACTGGTACTGTATATATATATATACAGTGAGGGAAAAAAGTATTTGATCCCCTGCTGATATTGTAAGTTTGCCCACTGACAAAGAAATGATCAGTCTATAATTTTAATGGTAGGTTTATTTGAACAGTGAGAGACAGAATAACAACAAAAAAATCCAGAAAAACGCATGTCAAAAATGTTATAAATTGATTTGCATTTTAAAGAGGGAAATAAGTATTTGACCCCCTCTCAATCAGAAAGATTTCTGGCTCCCAGGTGTCTTTTATAAAGGTAATGAGCTGAGATTAGGAGCACACTCTTAAAGGGAGTGCTCCTTATCTCAGCTTGTTACCTGTATAAAAGACACCTGTCCACAGAAGCAATCAATCAACCAGATACCAAACTCTCCACCATGGCCAAAACCAAAGAGCTCTCCAAGGATGTCAGGGACAAGATTGTAGACCTACACAAGGCTGGAATGGGCTACAAGACCATCGCCAAGCAGCTTGGTGAGAAGGTGACAACAGTTGGTGCGATTATTCGCAAATGGAAGAAACACAAAAGAACTGTCAATCTCCCTCGGCCTGGGGCTCCATGCAAGATCTCACCTCGTGAAGTTTCAATGATCATGAGAACGGTGAGGAATCAGCCCAGAACTACACGGGAGGATCTTGTCAATGATCTCAAGGCAGCTGGGACCATAGTCACCAAGAAAACAATTGGTAACACACTACGCCGTGAAGGACTGAAATCCTGCAGCGCCCACAAGGTCCCCCTGCTCAAGAAAGCACATATACAGGGCCGTCTGAAGTTTGCCAATGAACATTTGAATGATTCAGAGGAGAACTGGGTGAAAGTGTTGTGGTCAGATGAGACCAAAATCGAGCTCTTTGGCATCAACTCAACTCGCCGTGTTTGGAGGAGGAGGAATGCTGCCTATGACCCCAAGAACACCATCCCCACCGTCGAACATGGAGGTGGAAATATTATGCTTTGGGGGTGTTTTTCTGCTAAGGGGACAGGACAACTTCACCGCATCAAAGGGACGATGGACGGGGCCATGTACCGTCAAATCTTGGGTTAGAACCTCCTTCCCTGAGCCAGGGCATTGAAAATGGGTCGTGAATGGGTATTCCAGCATGACAATGACCCAAACACACGGCCAAGGCAACAAAGGAGTGGCTCAAGAAGAAGCATATTAAGGTCCTGGAGTGGCCTAGCCAGTCTCCAGACCTTAATCCCATAGAAAATCTGTGGAGTGAGCTGAAGGTTTGAGTTGTCAAACGTCAGCCTCGAAACCTAAATGACTTGGAGAAGATCTGCAAAGAGGAGTGGGACAAAATCCCTCCTGAGATGTGCGCAAACCTGGTGGCCAACTACAAGAAACGTCTGACCTCTGTGATTACTCCTGAGTGGCGCAGTGGTCTAAGGCACTGCATCGCAGTGCTAACTGTGCCACTAGAGATCCTGGTTCGAATCCAGGCTCTGTCGCAGCCGGCCGCGACCGGGAGACTCATGGCGGCGCACAATTGGCCCAGGTAGGGAATGGCGGCCTGGAGTAGCTCAGTTGATGAGCATGGCGCAGTGGTCTAAGGCAATGCATCGCATTGCTAACTGTGCCACTAGAGATCCTGGTTTCGAATCCAGGCTCTGTCTCATCCGGCCGCGCCCGGGAGACCTCATGGGCGGGCGCACAATTGGCCAGGTAGGGAGGGAATGGCCGGCAGGGAATGTAGCTCAGTTTGAATAGAGCAATGGCGTTTGCACGCCAGTGTTGTGGGTTTCGATTCCACGGGGGGCCAGTATAAAAAAATAAATATGTATTCACTAACTGTAAGTCCGCTCTGGATAAGAGCGATCTGCTAAATTGACTAAAATGTAAATGTAATCCAACAAGGGTTTTGCCACCAAGTTATAAGTCATGTTTTGCAGAGGGGTCAAATACTTATTTCCCTCATTAAAATGCAAATCAATTTATAACATTTTTGACATGCGTTTTTCTGGATTTTTGGTTTGTTATTTTGTCTCTCACTGTTCAAATAAATCTACCATTAAAATTATAGACTGATTATTTCTTTGTCAGTGGGCAAACGTACAAAATCAGCAGGGGATCAAATACTTTTTTCTCTTTCACTGTATATATATATATAAGGTGAAATCATTACAGCCTGTTATCTACGGTATTCACAGTAGCTTAATTAATATAATAAGGTTTCTGTAAAAGAGTGGTCCTGCAGCAGGAACTGTGACTTCACCTTTATTTGGCTTTCGGCAATAAAAAAGGGCACATCCAACCAAGGTGAAGATGATGAAGATGATGATGATGCTGACGACTGTGACAGAGTAGTTGTGGTCCGCTTTGTGAAAATACAGTGACATCAAAATCTCAACGTCAACATAGCATATCAAATCTCATCTAGTCTAATTTAGTGTGTGTGTGTGTGTGTGTGTGTGTGTGTGTGTGTGTGTGTGTGTGTGTGTGTGTGTGTGTGTGTGTGTGTGTGTGTGTGTGTGTGTGTGTGTGCATGCATGGGAATGTCTTACCAGATTTAGATACACAAATCGTTTCGATCTCCTTGGTGTCGTTGGCCCAGCTGACTTGGTTGCTGTGGTTACAGATGATGGAACCCCCTGCCACATAGACAGAGAGCAGGGGGACAGTGGAGGTCTCAGCCCCTCTACTCTCTCCTCCCACCTGAGAGCAGGTGCTGTTGTTACAGCTGGAGGTGACAGAGGTGTTCTGGCCTCTGCAGGTCACAGTCGCATTACAGGGGTCACTCTTGGTGGAGACAGAGTTCACTGTCAGGACCGGAGGCTCAACTCTCTCTGGAAACACATAGATAAACAGACAAATAGATAGGGTTAGAAAAACACACAAATGCACACACGCATGCCTATCCATTTACACAGACACACATACGACAAATGGCTGATCATTTTTCTAGTCACCATTTACTGTGGTTGACATTTCTGGACCTTAAGCTGCAGTAAATTAGAGTTCATTTAACCTGAGATAGAATTCACATTTCACTACTGATTGCTACAGCTCTGTAACCATAGTGATACAAAAGAAGAGCGGGAGGGAAGGAAGGAGGAAAACCTACCATGAACTGATATCTGGTACTTGGCAACATCTGTGTTTTCTTCACCACTCACTACTGCATGGTAAAGTCCACTGTCTCCTTCCTGTAGGTTCTTCAGAAGCAGAGAGAAGTTTCCCTCACTAAACTCAACCCTGCCTTCGTATTTAGGTGATGCTTTCACTTTTGATGATTCATTGAAATATTTTACTAAATTGTGAGATTTGTTAAACGTCCACTTTAAATCATCAAAATATTTTAATTTAGCATATCCCTGGACATCCAGACGAACATTTTGTCCTTTCAGCACAAGCAGTTTCAGAGTCTCAGTGCTGGACTCTGTGAAATAAACAGACAGAAAACTTCATGTAAAAATGAAACAGTCTATCAAGACCACTGTAAAAAATAAATAGATGGTGATTCAATGTACAAAAGTAAGGCAACCAGCTGCAGTGGGATTGGTGCGTTTTGCCCACAACCATTTGGGCATTATATACGGTTGCCTCAGGAAAGGTTTCATTACCCTTGACTTTTTGTACATTTTGTTACGTTACAGGTCTTAATTTAAAAAGGAGTGAATTCAGATTGTTTTGTCACTGGCCTACACACGATACCCCATAATGCGAATGTTTTTGCAAAGTAATTAAAAATGAAAAGCTGAAATGTCTTGAGTCAATATTTATTCAACCCCCTTTGCTATGGCAAGCCTAAATAAGTAGTAAAAATTTGCATAACAAGTCACATAATGAGTTGCATGGACTCACTCTGTGTGCAATAGTGTTAAGACGACAATGAATGTTCCTGAGTGGCCGAGTTACAGTTTTGACTTAAATCTACTTGAAAATCTATAGCAAGACCTGAAAATGGTCGTCTTGCAATGATCAGCAACCAATTTGACAGAGCTTGAAGAATTTTGAAAGTAATAATGGGAAAACGTTGCCTAATCCAGTTGTGGAAAACTTTTAGAGACTTGCCCAGAAAGACTCACAACTGTAATCGCTGCCAAAGGTTCTTCTACAAATTATGGACTCGGTGGTGTGAATACTTATGTAAATGAGATATTTCAGTATTTCATTTACAAAACGTTTCAAAACATTACTAAAAACATGTTTTCACCTTGTCATTATGGGGAATTGTGTGTAGATGGGTCAGAAAAAAAATATGTTTAACGCATTTTTAATTCAGGCTGTAACACAACAAAATATGGAATACGTCAAGGGGTATGAATAATTTCTGAAGGCGCTGTAGCTGAACCAACATACTGTACATTCTCAAGTTGAATTGTATGTTCATTCAATTTAGAATTTTAGAGGGAGGGTTCTAAGCTGACATATGGAATTGTTTTAAGATGGATCACTTAGCTATTTGATTTAGAATTGTAGGACCCTTTAGGTCTAAAAATATATATATAAAACAATTATTTGATAAAATATAGAATTTGGCCTTTACTACTATAGCCCATAGAAACACATTGAATAACACATTTATAAATGGCAAAAAAGATAGTCAAAAAATAAATCATAAGGAATACGGTTTTGAAGTGTCTGTCCTATATCTAGGAGATACAAGAAAGCTCAGGAAATATACACTACCGTTCAGAAGTTTCCTTGTTTTCCATGAAAACATACATGAAATGAGTTTGAATAGGAAATATAGCAAAATGAATAGGAAATGTAGTCATTGACAAGGTTAGAAATAATGATTTTTAATTGAAATAATAATTGTGTCCTTCAAACTTTGCTTTCGTCAAAGAATCCTCCATTTGCAGCAATTACAGCCTTGCAGACCTTTGGCATTCTAGTTGTCAATTTGTTGAGGTAATCTGAAGAGATTTTACCCCATGCTTCCTAAAGCACCTCCCACAAGTTGGATTGGCTTGATGGGCACTTCTTACGTACCATACGGTCAAGCTGCTCCCACAACAGCTCAATAGGGTTGAGATCCAGTGACTGTGCTGGCCACTCCATTATAGACAGAATACCAGCTGACTGCTTCTTCCCTAAATAGTTCTTGCATAGTTTGGAGCTGTGCTTTGGGTCATTGTCCTGTTGTAGGAGGAAATTGGCTCCAATCAAGCGCCGTCCATAGGGTATGGCATGGCGTTGCAAAATTGAGTGATAGCCTTCCTTCTTCAAGATCCCTTTTACCCTGTACAAATCTCCCACATTACCACCACCAAAGCACCCCCAGACCATCACATTGCCTCCATCATGCTTGACAGATGGCATCAAGTACTCCTCCAGCATCTTTTCATTTGGTCTGCATCGCACACATTTTCTTCTTTGTGATCCGAACACCTCAAACTTCGATTCGTCTGTCCATAACACTTTTTTCCAATTTTCCAATGTCCAGTGTCTGTGATCTTTTGCCCATTTTAATATTTTATTTGTATTGGCCAGTCTGAGATATGGCTTTTTCTTTGCAACTCTGCCTAGAAGGTCAGCATCCCGGAGTCGCCTCTTCACTGTTGACGTTGAGACTGGTGTTTTGAAAAGTACTATTTAATTAAGCTGCCAGTTGAGGACCTGTGAGGCGTCTGTTTCTCAAACTAGACACTCTAATGTATTTGGCCTCTTGCTCAGTTGTGCACCGGGGCCTCCCACTCCTCTTTCTATTCTGGTTAGAGCCAGTTTGCGCTGTTCTGTGAAGGGAGTAGTACACAGCGTTGTACGAGATCTTCAGTTTCTTGGCAATTTCTTGCATGGAATAGCCTTAATTTCTCAGAACAAGAATAGACTGACGAGTTTCAGAAGAAAGTTATTTGTTTCTGGCCATTTTGATCCTGTAATCGAACCCACAATTGCTGATGCTCCAGATACTCAACTAGTCTCAAGAAGGCCAGTTTTATTGCTTCTTTTATCAGCACAACAGTTTTCAGCTGTGCTAACATAATTGCAAAAGGGTTTTCTAATGATCAATTAGCCTTTTAAAATGATAAACTTGGATTAGCAAACACAACATGCCATTGGAACACAGGACTGATGGTTGCTGATAATGGGCCTCTGTACGCCTATGTAGATATTCCATAAAGAATCAGCCGTTTCCAGCTACAATAGCCATTTACAACATTAACAATGCCTACACTGTATTTCTGATCAATTTGAAGTTATTTTATGCTTTTCTTTCGAAAACAAGGACATTTCTAAGTGACCCCAAACTTTTGAACAATAGTGTATATATTTTTACACATATTTAACCCCTTTTTTTGGGGTAGGTATAAATGTTTTACAGAGACCACCGGAGACCAACTTCGTGTTCGTGAGAGTCTCATCTTTCCATAGAGTGGTCACATTATTAAACTGTTCGGACACTACAGACGTTTTGTGAGCAGACAGATTTTCAGGATGTCTCATGGTCTGTCACACTGCTGTAGCTCGGCCACCTTCCATCGCATATGTGGAAGGCCGCCATAGGTGGATGTGGTGGATTGAGACGCAACGCATGCAAAAACACAGATATCTCTAGTTTAAACTGACAGATTTTGTTTAGATTGACACCGGTGAGTCAATGGACTCTAGGGGTTAAGTAAACAAACTGTAACACATTAGCTCAAATTCTTGTCCTTTTGAAGTCCACTCAACTCGCAGAGTAATGCTCATTAAGAAATTGCTTAATTTGTCTTTTTTTGCTACTTCGTTTGCTGCTTGTAATACAGAACAGTGCAACAGTATATTTCTGGTAACTATAGTTGAATTAGCATGAATCAAAAAACACTTTGTCTCTTTGCTATGCATTGTACTAAACCCACCTTAATTCATAGACCTGTTATAAGATACAGTATGATGGGTGATGTTTCATGCATTAAAGTGTGTTTCTTTTCATTGTAGAGTTTGTGGTCTAAAATACGTATCCGTCATGAAACCAGTTGGCTTATAAATGGCTGTCAACGTTCTGTCAATGTATCACCCCCCACCCTCGCTGCTGAAGCTGTGGCTTTCCACATCCTGTGGCTCAACATGTTTCTCACGCTTTTATACTAATCCTATACAGAACAGTATGCTTCAACAAATGACTCTACTAACTAACCAATTGATCAATGTCAACAGATAGAACTACTTCTCTGAATTACAACCAAATTATGATAAATGTACTATATTACGTATTTACATCACCATGTAGTTTACCAATAAAATGGTCTGATGGTGATGTGGATATACTCGGAATACATATCCCAAATGAAATACATTTGAATAGAAAGTTAGCAAAAATAGATAAAATCTTGCTACCATGGAAAGGTAAATACCTGTCAATTTGTGGAAAAACTCACCCTGATTAACTCTTTAGTATTATCCCATTTTACTTATTTGCTTATGGTCTTGCCTACGCCTAGCGAACAGTTTTTTAAATGATAGGAGAAAAAAAAAATTCAATTTTATTTGGAACATAATGAATTCTGAGGACAGAAATGATTAAATATTAAAGCATTAGACCTATCACTAAAAGTTTCAGTCATACAAAAGTTATACTTAAATCCGAACTGGTTCTCTAGCAAATTAGTAAGATTGTCTCACCCAGTGTTCAATAATGGCCTTTTTCCCTTTATTCAGAATACAACCTCTCACTTTCAGTTATTTGAAAAGGAAATAATCTCCCAAATATCACTATTTCTAAAACAAGCCATATTGGTTACAATTTCAATTTAATCCTCCAGAAACGACAGAAGAAATAATGCAACAAATATTGTGGTTAAACTCAAATGTACTAATTGATAAAAAAGTATTATTTTTTGAAAATGTGTTTTAAA